CTACCTGCCCCCTTCACTGAATTAGCTCCTCCAAACTATTTGGGGTTCCTTCTGCCTAACTCTCAATCCCCCAAGAACCCCGTGTTAGACAGATCCCCGTTATGTCTTTCCAATAGCATCTCTTCCCTTCAAGTCACTTATCACAATTTGCATTCATGTTCATTTGTGGGTTGTTCCTGGTTCCCTACTAGAACTACATTCTATGGAACAGAACTAATATGTTACCAAGGTTTCTCCAGTAAAATGCCTGGACACAGTAGCCACTCAATAAATCCATATATATTCAGCAACTGAATGAACACATGATTCAAGATGTGGACCCACATCCCTAGATGGGTAAGGTCCCTCCAGCTTTTCCCCTTTTGTTGGGTGACTGACCAAGTGCCCAGTCCTAAGAGACCCTTAGCAAGAAACAATGCAGGAAGCATGGAGAAAATCTAGCTCTGGACTTGAACATGGATGGACTGTCATGATACTTCATGGGTTGGTGTTTTCTCAGGAGTGGGCAGGGTTTTTGCAACAGAAGCATCATAACCCCGTTCTTGACAGGGTGGCTCTGGGCTTCCTGGAGAACATGTGATGTGACAGCAGGTTGCTACCAGAAAGCAGAAAAGGCCAGACATCTCCTCGGTGCAGAGAAACAGGTACGKCCTGTTCTGACAGACCAGGACTCAACTCTTGGCCTTATCGCTTACTTGTCTGGTGACCTTGGGCAAGGATCTAACCTCATGGAGCTTCAGTGTGTCCATCTGTACAGGGGGAGCAGTTACTCTCTCTGGTCAGGTAGCTCTGTGAGGATTAATAGGGMAAAGTCTCTGGGAGGCTTAGCAGGATGTCTGTCATGAATTAAGTGCTCAATAATCACAGATTGATCATGCACACGGGCCCAGGTTGGCCTTTGGTTTTATGACCCAGTGCCTAGTACAGAGTCTAGCACACAGTAGATCTTTAGGAAATCTTTCCTTAGGAATAAATAAATAATCAAATGTATTTGACCTTAGTAAGATTGCCCTCCTCCAGGAAGGATCCCTGTGTGTAAAAACTCCTCTATTACCACACACTCCAACCAAATGCTTTCCTTTGAGCAACCCTAACCCCTGTGCTTGGAATCTCAGGGCTGAGGAATAATGTATTTGTGCAGGGTGCATCTGTCCCAAGTCATGAATCATCTCGGAGACCCTCCTTCTGCCTTGCGCTTGTGGGGGCTGGACATCCTTCAGCCCCCATTTGAATGAGAGRGCCAGAGAGTCAAATCCATGGAGAGAAGGGATCCTCTTTGGTTCCAGTACGGTAGCGAGCACAACTGTTTCTTTGAAATTGACCTTCATTTATTTGGAGGGGAAAGCAGTTAGTTCAAGAATGGTTTCCTGATGCCTTTCATTCAGCATTTTAAAAGGCRGAAGAAAGATCTGGAGCGAGGCAAGGCTCCAGTGTTTTCTAAACAACTCACTAAGCCTGGCCACTAGTTGGCTGCCCAGCACTTCCTGCTCCCCCCCTTCCTGCACCCCCCACACTGCAAAGCGTATCCCTCAATAGCCTGGCCACTTCTGGGGACCCTGAGCAGGCCTGCCCCAGGCGGGGAAGTTGGTCTGCACTGCAGTGCCGCCGGATATCTTCCGCGTGGTGGATGGAGTAGAAATACTGCTATATTCTATTGCAATTATTTCCTGCCCCTCCCTGGCTTGATTCCAGGGGCGATATAAAGAGGCCTTGTTTGGTGTAGTCCATCCCTGATCCTGAGTGAGTGAGCACTGGTCCCTGGTCCAACTGGTCTGAGGCCACAGGGAAAGGGTGGGGAGGAGGTGAGGAGAGTGTCATAGATGGGAAGGGCACAGAGACAAAGATGCCCTGCTCTGTGGGCAGCCCAACCCTGCTCCCCAAAATAAAAATAAGGGAAGAAGGAAAACAAATGGGGCACCCCGAGTAGAATCCTGGAGGGGGCCTGGTTATTTTCCCTCCTTCCCAGAAGGAATCCCAACCCTTCTCTCCCATGGAGAAGACAAACACAGCTATGGAAATCTCATGCCAACCAGGCACCTGAAAGTCTAGCACCAACAGGAGGTCACTCCTACCTGCACTGCTCTGTTTGCCCAGCACGGTCACCCCCGGATCTGCTTTCAGCCCTGTGAGTGAAAAGTCCTTCATGGAAAATTTAGCATTTCGAACTTTCTTCAGATTCCAAAGGACCTATTTGTTCTACCTCATGTTACTTTTATTTGGGCATTGTTTTAACTGACAGGAAGTAGAAAACTACCTCTCCATTTTTTAGGGGGGATGTTCATTAATTATGCACCTTCCTTGTTGGAGATGTTGAGAACCTTTTGGAGTCCATCCCAAACCCAAGGCCAGGTGACCATGTTCCTCACCTCACCTGTCCGATTTCCAAAGAAGAAGGATGGAGATGGGGTCAGCTCAAGTACCATGTCTCAGAAGGTCCCAAGGAGATCATGGCATGAATGATCAGAAAGTTTTCCTTTCTAGGAGAGGAGAAGCAAGCTCAGAAAGCATCAAGGAGGGCAAGAAGCCTTCACTTCTTATGCATGGAAACCAAGAACCTGAGATGAAAGGCAGGGACAGAAAGGATGGCAGGATAATGGGAATGAGAACAGTGGACTTGCTTAAGCACAGGACCCAGAGAGGAGCCACATCTTCCCACATCATTGTTTTGCTGGTGAAGATCTAATCTTGGCATCTAAGATATTGATTCTGAAGGATAGTGACAGATCCTCTGACCAGTAATTCTCAAAGCCTGTTCTGTGGAGCACCTCTCCAGAATCCCCTGGGTACTGATGAAACATGCAGATTCCAGGGATCCATCTGCTTTACTGAGTTAGATTCTTTGTGACTTGGGCACAGGTGGCCACATGAATATCAAGTTTCACAGGTGATTCTGATATTTATTAAAATTTAAGTCCCCTTGATCTCCATAGGATGTTCTCCAGACACGAGATCTGGAGCCCAGAGAGGTAGAGCAACAAGTCTAGGGCCACAGAGCTAATGGATGGCAAAGTTCAAATGAGAACTCTGCTGATATTGACCACCAGAGCAGAGCAGAGCAGGGTTCTTTCCATTTCAACGTGCTGTAAACCTCTCGTCTGCTTGTAGCCATTTTCCTTGCCAAAACCTGCAACTCTGATCATCTCTGCAACCCATGAAAGCCTTTTCCTTCTTGAGCATCACAGAGGCCACAGCCTCTGTAGGCTGGTAGGCAAGGACAGAAGGAAGGAAAGAGAAAGACCCAGTTCTCTTCTGAGCCATTAGTAACACTTGTGAGCTAGTAACACAAGTGAGTAAAGGAGGAGATACATTATTATACCCGAGGGAATGATTGGGTTTGGTTTGTAGTACCAATAGCTAACTTTCACTGAGTGTCTGTGATGTGCTAGATTTTGGACTGCCTTTTCCATGCATTAGTGCAAACTCCATGGAGTAAATACTAAGTAGCCCCATTTCATAGATGAAGAAGCTGAGGCTCATACAGGAGTGATCCTTTGCCTGAGGTCATGTGACTAATAAAAGACCAAATAAACTCTATACAACCATGATCTTTGCCATGGCCCCAGGCAGTGTGAATTATCATCCACCTGCAAAAGGACCCTGAGACTGTGGGAAAGAGAAGCAAGCTTGCTTGCAGTGGGATGTGACTATTCCTGGCATAGAACTTCAAGCCCTTTCCACTTAACCCTCGTCATTGAAAATATTTCTCAAAGGCATTAGCCTGCAAGCTGCCTTAGGAAAGATAATATGGAGAGTAGCTTAAATGGCTTTTTTCTTTTTAACAATGAAAACTCTTGATATCAGTGTGCTTTCTTTCCATTCACCTTTTTCTCTAAAGGAGTGTGACTTCACAATTTTGGTTGTTTGAGGGGTTTGGTTATATTCATTTCTGAGACTGGGTGGGATTGCAGGTGTACGTGGTCTATGGCATGTGGCACTGACACCTCTCCCAATATCATGGCAAGTCATGTGCCATGATCGCCTCCTTTCATTCAGTTGCTGCTCCCAAGGGATAGAAGAAATCAAAGCAGATCAGTGCCCCAGAAAAGGGACAAGGTTTTCCCAAGCCATGGGAACCACAGGTCACAATATCCTCCTCTAGGTTTATCCCCAGCCAGACCTTAGAAGAAATCAGGTAGCCTTTTGAACAATTCAGTTAGTAGGACCACAAGATGAAATAAGATGGACACATTGTTGTCAAAGGGGAAGGACACACTGCATTCTATCTTTCCAGGACCTGGGATCTTGCAGTTGACGGGGAGGGTCTACTATAATTTAATTCTGGGCATTCCGTAAATCACCAGAGTTGGGAACATTTTGGGGTGAAATGGAAACCAAGAACATGTGACCCTCTAGTCATTTTCTCTTTTAAACCTCAAGCTTCAGATAACTTAAAGGCCCCCGGGGGCTGTGTGGCTGTAAAATGTTCCTACTAACTGATAATGAAGGCAGCGCATTGAGATGAAAGACAGTGGTGAGGGAGGAGGGGGAGACTGCAGCCTCTGCAACGCTCTGGAGAAACGTGGTCTCTGCAAGAGCCCTGGAAATGCTGAATGAACACTGCCTTTCTGTGTGTGAGCTGCCTCCCTGCTTCCCAAACGCCGCGTCTGCAGTAACTACAAACTATTTGGTATGCTGCATTAGTGACGCCGCCTAAGCCAGCACATCATTACTACCGAAATAACGCTGGTGTGATGCTCAAGCCAATGTCCTTTTTAATTATTAAACCGAGGCTGTCGAGTGAGTCATTCCTTATCCCAGATTTTCCTCCCGAGGTTCTATTTCAAGTGCCTAGTACCTTAGCGTGTGCCACTAACACCTGAGTTGGTTCGTAGCCAGCTCCCCAATCTGCAAAGCCTTTGCAGAACAAACAACATTATCCAATCTCCAAACACACAGAGACTGCATAAAAAACAAAAGCCACGTAAAAACTTTAGAGTAAGCTCCTCAGGAAACCCTCGAGCTCAAAATGGTCAGTTCCCCTTTGCCAGTCCCCAACTTACCAAGAGGGAGAGCGATGAAGAAGGGAAGCCAACACAAGATGAACATGCCGACCACAATGCCCAAGGTCTTGGCTGCTTTCTTTTCCCTGGAGAACTTAAAAAGTTTGACAGCTATGGAACTCCTGGGGTTGTGGCCCTTGGCCTTAGTACTGCTGAGGGTATCCTCGTGAAAGTTCTTGGAGTGGATCCTCAGGGTCAGCTCCTTGGAGTTGGACATCTCCTTCATGACTCCCGCCTCCAGGTTCTTGGTGGTCCTTTTGGCCACGATGTAGACACGGCAGTACATGACCAGGATGACCGCCAGAGGGATGTAGAAGGAGCCCAGGGAGGAGAAGAGGGCATAGAAGGGTTCTTCGGTGACCCCGCATTCCTTGTCGTCGTTGGGCGCCGGCTCCTTCCAGCCAAGAAGAGGCCCAATGGAGATGACCGTGGACAACACCCAGACACTGAGGAGCGCCAAGATGGCCTTCCTCCGGGTGACCAGAGCGGGGTACTGTAGAGAGTAGCGTACCCCAATGTAGCGATCGATGGAGATGGCGCACAGACTGAGAATGGAGGCCGTGCAGCACAGGACGTCCACGGCCGCCCAGATGTCACAGAAGATGCGCCCCAGCACCCAGTAGCCGAGCACCTCCAGGGTAGCCGAGAAGGGCAGGACAGTGAAGCTCAACAGCAGGTCGGCAATGGCCAGGTTGACGATGAAGTAGTTGGTGGGCGTCCGCAGGTGCCGGTTGCAGGCCACAGACAAGATGACTAGGATGTTGCCCACGATGGCAAAGAGGATGAAGGCGCCCAGCACCAGGCCCACAGAGATGGCCCTGGTGATGTCCAGCTGGGGCAGTGTGGAGTTGCTCGAGGTCTGGTTGGGGCCACTGAAGTTGGCATTTTTCAACTCTCCCCAGCGGGCAGGTGCTGATGTGTTGTGGCCGGTGTCCAGGTCGGGATTCATTTTAGAGTCCGCCCTCCATAGCCAGGGAGGTGATTGGGCTCGGAAGGGCTGCGGCGAAGGCTCCTCAGCTGCCCTGAAACTTTGCTTCCCCGGCAGTGGTCTTCCCAGAGGCGTCCTCCTGGCGAGAAGGCATGTCCCCCGGGCAGTCCAGCCCGGCAGCGCGTCTCCTGCCTGCACCGAGCTGCTCGCTAGCCTGTCAGAGGGAGGAGGAGAAGAGAGGGGACGAGGCGGCAGCTCCAAGTTTAATGGTCCACGTCAGGCGCGCCRGGCCGGGCTGGCGGGGAGCAGCGGCGGAGGGGGCGGCAGGCGCGGCGCCCGGCTGTGCCCGGCCCGCGGCGGGTCTGCGGTGCGCGGCGCCTCCTCCGCCCAGCGAGAGCCGAGGAGGGTCTGCTTTCAATGAGCCGCCTCTGGGCTGACTGCACGGCGGTGACATCAGGCGGGGGAGCCCGGCGTCCTGACTCCGCGCGGCACTAGGGGGCAATGCGGGTCCAGCCAAGGCGCCCGCAGCCCCGACGCCGCCACCCGGGTCAGCCTGGCGGCCGGCCGCGCCCCCGCCGCTCCCGGCCAGGCCAGCCCTGGCAGGGGCGGGGGTGGAGAGCAGGGACCTGGGCGTGGGATTCCCCACCCCGCCATCCCCAGGGGGCCCGCGGGTTTTTTTTCCCTTCTATTCACTCTTGGGTTCCCAAAGTGGGGTGGGGTGGGGTGCTTACTTCTAACTGGGGGCTCCTGGAGTCAGACCCTGATTTAACAGGAGGTGCCACCGGTCGGGTCCCTAAAGGAGGAAGAATCCAGGGTGAGGCAGGCGGTGGGGTCTTGAATCAGATCTGAGACCAAACCCCACCCTTGATCTCCCCGTGGCAACCTCTTTGGTGTCAATAAAGCCTGGAGGCTTCATTCATTCATTCGTTCATTCGCTCCCGCACTTACTCACCCAGTGAACTTTACCAAGCACCCACTGCCGCCCCGCTCACTTCTAGGCTCCCAGGGTGTGGCAACTGAACAGGCACACACAGACTCCTGCCCTCCAGGAGCTTCCATGCCAGTGATATATCACTTGATGACGTGTTAGGGATAATAAATAAGCAAATTATGTGGTTTATCATCTAATGACATGTTAGGGAGATAATAGAGCGAGGAGAGGGAAATTCAGTGTGTGTGTGTGTGTGTGTGTGTGTGTGTGTGTAGGGGCACAGATTTTAAATTTTTAAATGGGTGCTGGGGATGTCACCCAAGTGACTCTTGAGGCAGGAAGGAGGAAAGGAGCTAGTTGTTTATCTAGTGAGTGAAGGGGGAAGAGACAGCCCAACATCTGGGGACAGGTTTTCTTTCCTTTCTGCCTTATATCTATGTTGGACCTGCAGCTGCAGGGACATATTTCCAGAGGTGGGTGAATGGTACTTAGGAGAGAAAGTGCGAGCTGAGAAAAGCCCAGGAAGAGTTCTGTGCTAGTTAACAGTTAACCAACACTTATGTCCTGGACAGCATGTTAAATTCTCTTTACATTTTTTTTCCCCACAGCCCTATGAGGGAAGAACTATTCTCCTCCTTATTTGTATCTTGAGGATGGGACACCAAGTTACTACGGAGAAGCTGAATTCTTTGTCCATGCCCATCCAGCCATCAAGGAGAGGAGCTGGGAATGAAACCCAATTGTGAGATCTGCTCCCAAGTTGAGTGCTTAGCCACCTTGCCCCTTAGAGGAAATGTAGGGGATAGAGGGATTATGGTAGATGGAGCCCTCTTGTAAGTGGTACATTTTGGGGTCTGAGCTACTGTATTGCATGGAGTTGCATTTGTTGAACTCTTATTGATAGCCAATATTCAATTTTTTTTCTCTTCACAACAATTCTTTGAGAGGGGCACACTGTTCTCCATGGATAGATGAGAAAATGGTGATTTATAGAGAGTTAGCAAATTCCTAAGTTCACATGGCTAGTGACATGTAGCAGAGCAATGGGCAGTGGCAGCTAGAGATTGAAAAGTCAAGCCCAACATCTCCTTTTACTTCAGTCCACAGTCAACTTCTCCTGCCCTTGAGAAGCCCTGTAGCTTGATATTAAGGGGAAAGCCATAGTCTCTCTGTGTAATTTACATCTAAGCTCTTCAATTTAAAGGTGGGTTCTTAATCTCTTTTTATTTTTATTTTCTAGAGAGGAGTGCAGGTGGTCATTATGCATCTATCTAAGGGTTTATCTTCTCTTACTAAAATACAGCTTCCATAAATGCACAAAATACCCAATTTCAAAGATTTTCCCTGAGGTTAAAAAAAATACAAATAAAAACCTGTGCTAGAGATAGCTCTAAAAACAGATTTTTTTCCCATTTCAATTAAATTGGCCTAACTTGTACCTGAATATTTTACAATGAGAGATTCACACGTATATAGTAATGGAAACCTGTAGGAATTCTCAGAGCCTTTGTCCATCTTCCCATTGTGGAAGTGGTACAGGGGGCAGAGGAAACTGACCAGCTTCAGGGGCTGGTCGGGGCAGAGCTGATTATGAAATTATGTTTTCCCAGTTCCCTCCCCTGCTGCAGAAGCAAGCCACCCAGGACAGCCTCTTGTAACTCACACAGTGGGGTGTGAGACTGGTACAGCTCGGGCATGTCTCTGCCAAGGATCTTAATGGGAAGGTGAGGTGGTCCTTGGTCTTGAGGCACATGTGCTAATTTGTCTGGAGAGAGGGTCTGGTGAAGGTGATCTTTTGAAATGCCCTAGCTCCAGGTTGTTAGCTTTCCATGCTGGATAAAATGGACCCGGAAGGCATCCCTGCTGTCCTTTCTCCCATGCATCTTCCACAGTGGGGTGGGGGTGTGTGCCAGCCACTCACTCCCACCATCCCCATGGATTTTAAAGTCTGGGATGATGGAGCTTCTCTTAAACTGCTTTACTCCCAAGAGAAAGTCGGGGGAGGGAGAGAATGCCAGTGAGCTGGCACAAAGCTGGTGATTAGCACAGAGGCAGAGGGATGCAGGGTGGGGAAGGGTGGGACAGAAAGAAGGGCAAGTTCCAAGTCCACATTTTGATTGTGGTGGCCCATTTCCCACTTCCCTGGGCATTAATTTCACCAGCTATTGAGCAGCCAGCAACACACCATTGAATTTACAGAGGCCGTGTCTACATAATCACAGTTACCAGCTGCAATGTGAGAACTCAGCCTAGCAGACATTTTTTTTTAAATGGTGGCAAAAGGCCAGGAGAACAAAAAAGAAAAGGGCAAATCTGAGATTCAGACTTGGTTTATCTTTATTATGAAAGAGGATAATTTGTTGCTTGGTGAGAACTTGTGTCCTGCTTCAGGTGTCAGGATGTGGAAGAGACTATTGAGGCAGCTACAGAAATGCAGGATCCTTTCCGGTTTCAGACATGTTGTCATTGACCAGCATCTTTTTGCAAAGGCAAAACAAACATCCCGCCAGAAAGCAAACAGGTATTAGCTTTAATAGTGGCCACTAGCGGGACCCCACCAAGCAACATTTGCGGATGGTCATTTTCTTGCTTTCTTCCCTTCCCCTCACTTAACCCTTCTGGCTGATTTTTTGACCCATGCAACTGACCGTTTGTTTAGGTGTCATGAGGATACAGACGATATTTCATTTTCTCGGTACTCCCTGGGGCAAAGCCAAGCACAGAGCTCTGACTCACTCGAGGCTTGGGAAAGAAGAATCTTTTCATTATCCATCTTATTACATTAGAAACCTCTGAAGTTGCAAACTTCCATTTCTGTGAGCTCTCTGGGAGAAGCTGTCACTGAACTTGACTGGCGGGGAAACTGAGGCTGACAGATTCAGGGATCTGTTTAGGGCCTCTAGGAGAGGAGATCTCTCACCTGTGATCATGCGGTTTTGTACGATCTTCTCCCTAGTTTTCAATTCCACTAGAGATTTATAGGAGCATCTCTTCTGCAAGTTACCACGCTGGGTGTCGTGGCTCCAACAGAGGTAAATTGACTAAATGAATGAAAACCTAGCCTGGGGCAAGGTGAGGAATGATACTAACAGTACTTCATCTTTCAAAGAGTACCTACTATGTGCCAAGTGCTGTGCTGGAACTCTGGGCAAGGAATTATCCTCRTTTTACAAATGAGGAAACTGAGGTTCTGTGACATGGCCAAGGCCATTCAGTGAGTAAGCAACATTGGTATGCAAAGCATCATTGTCTGGCTCCAAAGCTTGTATCCTTCTCTCTGCACCAGACTGAGATTAAAAAAAAAAAAATGCAGCAGAAGGCTTCATGTTAGCCTGAAGGAAATTACAGCAGGAAACAGAATGTGATCGGGGTCGTGAGTGAAGCAGAGGTCAGGGAAGAGAGGCAGAGCCATCCCAGAGAGAAGGTTCTGCAGAGGTGCTCCTTGGGCCAGCCTTCCCTGCCTCCCACGCAGGATTCGGTCTGCCAAGGAGTTGAGAACTGACTTGGATTCTAATCTTACTTCCATCCTTAATAGTTGCTAATGTGACCTTGGGTAGAAGAGTAAAGTGAAGAGCCAAAACTCTGGCATCCTGCAGACCTGGGTTTATGTCCCAGTTCCACTAATTCATTATCTGTGTGCCCTTAGGCAAGTCATGTAACTATTTTGGGCACCCARTTTCTTTACATGGGAGATGAAGATCATCATAGTCCCTACCTGTGTATAAACTACCTCATGCAGAGCAACAGTCATTCTTTAAGTCAGGAGTTACTGGACACACAGTAGGTGCTAGGCATTGGTCCAAAGGGTCTTGTGCCTATTGGCTCATTTAATCCTAATAATATTTCCAGGAGGATGCTGTTATTATGGACATTTTACAGATGAGGAAACTGAGGTTCAGAGTGGTTAAACGACTTGGGTGAAGTCCCAGGGCTAATAGCACAGTTAATATGCAAAGAACTTAGTAAATGAGACTGAAAAAGCAAAAGGAATTGGAGGTACRAGGCATTGGCCCATGAAGCATACTGGGCTCTGTGGGGACTCAAAGCATAATTTTTGTTCCCCTGTGCTCCCAGATAAGACAGATGAGAAGTGTCCTTTCTTCTGGTCAGGGGACACTGACTGCAGCAGAAGCATTTCTACTACCTCCAAGGGTGGCCAGTCAGAGGCTCCCAAGAGTGAGGAATTTCATCTCCCTCTGGGCAGAACTGCTTTTGTCTGTGGTAATTACAACTTGTCACTCTTTGGTGAGTGTGGAT